GTGTCATGTTCACTTAGCTATAAGTATTCTATAGATAAAAGATTTGGTTTGAAATTATTTAATACGCTTACTATTGTTATAGGTCGTAGCCATTTTTATCACTGGAACGTTAATTTGATTTTGGTGACAATGCAAACAAACTCTGCTTCAAAAAAAGGGTGGCGATGTAGCACAAAAATAACTAGTTGGATTGTAGATGTCAGGGTCTGCTAATTTAGCGTCGCAATCTCATATTTCTGGTATAGAGGAAGAGGTAGAGCTAGATTCTACATTCGTAAGTCATTTGTACCAATTTTTGGTTTTTAGGGCACTATCAATTATACCTTTTTGCAATAAAGACCGTGAGGGCGTGTTATGCTAACATCAACAAAACAAACAAAAACAGTATATACCTCCAACTCCTGAAAGCTAGCGCCTAATTCGTAAAAACTAATAGTAAGGCTAGTTAACGTCTTTCCGAGTCAGTAGGTTTATAATTTTACAAATGCAAATTAATGACCATTCAAAAATAAAAACTACCTACTTTAGAGCATCGACGGTGTTGAGATCTCCTCCAATGCTTTTATCTAGACTACAAGGTCAAATTCTGGAGTTGTTTCAACAACTGCTCTAGCGTAGTTTTGTTTAGTATCTTCTGATATATTCCTCTCTTAATACCTGACAAATTTCATTCGTGTTCCAATTCCCAGGTCATAAACTTTTGATTATGTTGCCTTAAAGTTCATCTCAAATAATTTCCTTGTTGCTCTCATTCTCTCAATTTTCTGTTGTTTGAAGTTCTTTCTTTATGTTCACCTCAATTTTTTCACAAGGTTCTGTAAAATCTTTTTCAGTTAATCTTTAAGTTACCCTAAGATTTATCTTGATCGGCGCGACTTTTTAGAAGGGAAATTCCTTAGATCATATACTGTGAATGATCTAAGGTAAGGGAAAATCCGTCTGCGCCATTTCGAGCAGTGGCGGATCCTGAGAAACTACATATTCGGTGAACGTAATTTTAATACGTATGCAACCCGCCGTCGCGCGTAACGCCATCTACTTCAGACCGATTGCACTATTATCTGTCATTTTAAATTCAAAATTGGAAAAAGTTTCTTAAGTTTGCCATAGCTTGAAGTGTTTGACTTTAATGCGATGCTGCCAGTCTCAGGTCAATGATCTAAGCTGCCAGGCCCCCCCACGAGCTTCTACACCTTATCAATCAAGTTCAAAACCAATACTTGCGTGGCATGACACGTGAGGACAAGAAAGCAGAAAGCAGAAGTTCTCAAACTAGTAGTGAAACTGTGAACTGAATCTAAATTCGAATATAGTTTAAAGTAAAGAGGGTTGGAGAAAAAATTTTATGTTTTATTCGTACAAAAAATGAGTTTTCGAAAACTGACATTTTCTGTACTAATAAAACAAATAACTATTTTTAATGAAACACTATTTTTTTTAGTCGATTTATAATTATTTTTATTACACGTAGAATTTGACACAGAATTTGAAAAAATACTGTTCCATTTAAAAAATCATCTTTGGCATCAAAATCTGCTTTTAGTCACTCTGTATATTTTCGGTTTCCAACATGACACCAGTGGCGTAACTTCATTTTAGAGGCCCGTCTTCAAAATATTTGGGGGCCCTTTCCTTATATCAGCATTTTTTAAGCGATGTTAATCTGTATGATGTATGAAATAGTGTCTTGATGATTTTGCATTTTGTAATTCATTGGTTCACAGGTACATTGTAAAATTTAGCGTCACTGCTTTCTGCGTTCAGTAAGAGTCCAGTTGATTTTGTTCGAAGTTAATTGTCAAACAAAAAAAACTCTTCGTTTTATTGTATTGACTTCGGCTATTTGTAACTAGGGGTAGGTAACTCTTGAATTTGTTTGTTATTTAATTGTTTCACTTTAAAAGTTATCCTTATTTTGATTTGTTTAATATTGGCCAGTTCCTTCGATGTTTAAACTCGTTTAGTTTGATTAGTGACTTCATTCGAATCTGCCTTTTTAATGTCTTAAACTGTTTCGCCCGCGCAGAGGTAAATGCTGGAGTGTTAAAATTACTTAGCGGCATTCATCTCGAAATACAACTTCAGGCTAAGGTTACCGTATCCAGGACCTCCAGATACCTTCTAGATTGAAGAAGGTCCCGCTAATTAACAAAGTAATTCATTTACTTTATGTAAGAGACTTCGGAATATTTTTTTTGACAAATGAGAAAGGAGTGGGGTTGTTTTTAAATCTAATAGAGTTTCGACTTTTGAACATATCAAATCTTGTATTAGATTAAAGTCAGATTTAAATTATTCAAAATCAAGAATTACCTACCTACTTCCTCGGATTGTTAATTTTTGTATATTGCAGATATTGCTCCAGATTTTTCACCTATGTTTACTCTCCGTGAACAATGATTCAGAATTTTCTTCGGACTGTAATTGTAAACTGTAAAAAAAGCAGGTGCATGGCCCTTCGTAAATAAAACATTAGCCAGCATTTGCATTACACTTTTATACGTTTTATCTCTTCCTTCAAGAACGGAAAATATTTAAATAATTAATAGAAGCATACCATTGAAGGAGTTCGCGAAATTTTCCATTTTTTTCAGAATTTTGTATAAACGAATTAAATTTGTTGTATATTTTTGCCGAGGCCCCTTTTAAGTCGGGGCCCGTCCTCATTGCGTACCTTTGAGGCATTGTCGTTACGCCACTGCATGACACCTGACTTTTAAATGTTTTTGTTACATATTTTAGTCCCTCACTGTACGTATGCACGGAAACGTTTATTTTGATTTGATGTTTTGGTTGCAAGGTCAATATTGTCGTTATAATTTTGTGCTATGCATTACAAACAATTAATTTTGCTATAGGTACAGTTTAATATTAATTTGCCGGTTAGTTTCTTTCGTAGTTTTTTTGCCCAGCATATTTTTTTCAGTAATTTGTTTTCAAAGTTCTTCATAATAATAACAATAATTATTAAACAACCATTTAATTATTCTAGTGTTTTATTTTGCGTTCCTTCTCTACCATGCGTCAGGTTATATAGCGTTGCATCCAAGTAACATAAGAGGGCGTTGCATTTGGATCACGTGCTACTTCTTGATTTCAAATTTAAGCGGGTTCCGGTTAGTTTTTGAACAGAATAGCCATTCCGGTGGATATTTTTAAAAATTGGTGGGTTGATTTTATTTTCGTGTTATTATAGTGCGTAGTTAGTATAGAACCTGGGGGTAAGCACATTACATTACTGAAGTTCTTTTCAACTCCCTCACAAATGTACACCCTCAAGTTCATTCACGTCAAGTTCCCCCAGAGTTATTAAGTTTAATACTGAAGCTCTTATAATTTCCCTAAACCTCCTCTCAAGTTTCTTTATAATTTTCCTCGCGACCCCCTTGGTTAGCTCACAATGGTGATTGATGGTACTGCGGTCAAAACAGTGTCCCGGAAAAGACATTTTTGTTACTATTGAAAATATTTCAGTGGCACTCAATTGTGCTAGGTCAGAGGAGTACACGAGTACTAAAGCAAATTTTACAAAAAGAGGCAAAATGGTAGTTAGGAAAATTATTACCTAACAGCACTGAACCACCACCTTTTGCGTTTGCAACCAACGCGCTGCATTGAAAAAATAGAACCACACGTTTTTATTAATTTAACTCTCAAAAAACCACATGGCGGTGTTAGGGAAAATTCTCCACACATTTTAGGGCTTGGCGCTAGCTTTTGGAATTCATGTGCCAACTTGCGCTAGGGAGAATATTTCAGGAGCGCTCTGACGCTACGATAAAATTGCAGCACCAAAAATATAAAACGATGGTACTAAAAAAGATTTCACAACATTCAGGGCATTACAACAATATCATAAATTTAGTACCTACATTATTAATACGGGTAAAAAGTGCATGAGGTTCTGAATGAACAATTGTTCGGTTTGCTAGGCGAAGCCTCGGCGAACCCGGGCGAATGCAACAATTGCGAGTGAAAAATGGCACTTTTTACCTTAATGGATTCAGAAACAAATGCCTTCTTTGCCAGTTCTTTCATTGTTTTGTGTTGCACTTATCGCGTCCTTTCGTAAGCTAAGTTAAAAGCTTGGCTCATACCTATACGAAACACGTCTGTAGTATTTAAAAAATAACGTTCCACAATGTGGCAGTGTATTTGTATATCATTTTGGGGTTTTGAAGTGAACATGAATTGACAAATTTTTATTGCTCGCAATAAGTACTCAGGTGCACTGATAGATACTAAGAGTGGCATAGTATCTAGCTGCAATATTTAAAAGTTGAGTTTATCTAATTACAAAATATAAAATTACACCATCTTCCGGAATTATTTGGTAAGACCACAGTAGAAAATATGAATTTGGCTAAACTAACGTGCCAAATAAAACTTGTAGTAAAATGGTATTCCAAAGTTTGGAGAGGATGCAGAATGTATACAAAGTTGGGAAGACAAAATGATAATCCTATCTGTGGACATCACTGATTACCTTTGGAGTCGCAAACAAAGGACGAAAGTTGTTACAATAGCTAACAACATTCATTTAAAGCTATAACACAAAACCGTCAGTATATCGCTGTCAATCGCATCCTGCCACATTAACTACGGGTTAACGTAAGTACAACGCAGAATGAAACCGCGACGTAGGGCCAAATGTGACCAAATATGCTTGAAGCATCGTCTTGGCACTTACAAACGCCCCGTACCGGGCCTACGTTGTATACATCATAGTACCGTATCAAACATCTGCAGAGATCTAGTAATTACATCATCTTTCAGGCACGATTCCATGAATTCCTCTATAGTGATAACGCCGTCCTGATTCAGGTCCAGCTTTCGGAAGACTCGATCCACCTGCTCTCGCGTTTTACGCTCATCTTCAGAGTGATGGTGCGCGCGTCGCCCAATTAGGTCGTGTACGGCTGTTACGATTTCTCCTAATTCGCCCCTACTTATGCAACCATCGCCATTGATGTCGTATAATTTAAAAGTCCATCTAAGACGTTCATACACAGATCCGCGGAGCAGTGTTGATAATGTTACTAGTAAGTCCTGAAAAGAAAAATTAGTTATAGTTATTGGAGTACCCAAACGTTATTAATGGGGGATATGAGAAAACGTAATTATAAAGCATAAAGTTCATTTTTTAGATATCACGAACAGATGGTCTACTTCTGTAATTTGGACGGGATTAATGAACAAGAAATCCCAATTTCCATTACTGAAGCTGTTTTATATCTGATACACTCACTGTAGTCTATTAATTAAACACGAACACATATAATTTTTATTCTCCATTTTTCAACATTTACCTACAACAATTATCAATCAAACAAGAGCCACACTCAATGTTGAATGTTGTGCGGGCACGTTATTAACAATTCAGAATGACGTCATGATTTTGAAATGATAAATTGCTACCAAAACAATTCCAAAAAGAGTTAATAGCATATAGCATCATAAATGTCTTGTATCCGAATGTTAGTTCGATCTTACACATTCCGCGGTATTGGAACAATAATTTCATGAATAAGTTCATCGAATTGTGTTGATGAATACTTGTTTAAGTACCTATGCTGAAGTACTTCTGTGTATTATTTTTATGACCTATTAAATTTTGCATCGCCAAGATGTGTTCCATGGGCATGCTTGGACTGCTAAAATTTGACACGTCTGACGTCTGCGACTTTGAGTTGACACTATTCAACAGAACTAGTCAGGTTTACCGTTACTATTTAAATACAATCATTAATTGGTTGTTCCGGTTGATAACTTGCATGACCACGAATCGAACGCTAGGAAAACCAATTTGGTGGTTTAGTTATTTTCATTTACTTACTTAAGTTACCATTTTACAAAGAAAAAGATTGAATTGCGATTAGTTTTACTTTTATTTGAGGTGCCTGCATACAACATTTCATTTAAATATCTTAACAAATAAAACAAGTACAAATTGTGCACAACCCTTGTGCAGGTAAAGCGCATTTTTTTTAAACACCGCTACGAAATTTCTTCCATAAATAAGAAAGTTGGCACTGCGCATGCGCAAAACCAAATTTTGAAACTGGCGTTATATTTGCTTTTATTCCAAGTGGCTATGTATCAAATTTCATTTAAATCCCTCCATAAATAAGAAAGTTGACACTGCGCATGCGCAAAACAAAATTTTGAAACTGGCGTTAAATTTGTTTTTATTGCAAGTGGCTATGATGTATCAAATTTTATTTAAATGCCCAATATGGTTATATTTCTTCCAAACGTGCTAATCGCCCTTTGTAGGTACGTTCCTTTGACAATTCACTCTTAAGAGAAGGCATGCGTATGCAAAATCTGAGACCAATTGGTTGTCGTATGGGAAAGTTATGCACGTTTTACTTTCAAAAACAGCATCTCAGGAAATAATTCGTGGGGGGAGGGCCCTCTTTTAGACAGCGAAATTTGATGGCCGTCGGGCACACCTTCAAGGTATAGGCTACCTACTGCAAATGCGCTAAAAAAATGGGATTGCGCAAATACAAAATTTGTATGGCGCATGTGCAATATTTTTTTGCATCTGCATAGTTGCCTGAAGTTTAAAGAATGTTTATTAACACAGAAAACCGAACATTCATAATGTTCTTTGTAACAAGAGTTATAAAAGAAACCGTTTTTGGATGTTTGGGTAGTTTTTGGGCTGTAACTTTTTGGCCCGTTGGTTTACGTAGCCGAAAAACAATAGCGACCTTTCTTATATCCTGAAGAATATGTGTATCAATTTTCAAAGCGATCGGACGTTTCTACACAAAGCTATCGTGCACACGGACAGACAGATGGGCGGACAGACAGACCGGCGGGCGGACGGACGAACAGACAGACGGATCTCGAGGATCGTTAATAAAACTTACCTTGAATTAATTACATTAAAAGGCGTGCAAAGAACAGTGTATCGTAAATAAGAAAGTTGGGTTTTGAGTTCAGCGTACTCGAAATGACGGCCGCCGCCAGTTGTGACGTCAACGCAATAGTGGGGATGAGTGTCGTGTCATGGCTAGATCGCGACCATTACCGTGTCAAAGCGTTCGTCGGCTCAGTGGCCATAAATATTTACGCTAAGTGGTTATCCAACCGTGCGAGTGAGAGGTTGCTGTCAGTCTAATAATTATTAAGTATTCTTTGGTAACAATTTGAAATGTGTGTCGCCATTGAAAATTCAAAATCAGATTCGACATTGCTCTCAGTTAACCTGTTAACTTCTAACAGATAGTGGGTCGAACCAAATACCTTAAACTCCAAACTGAACTGCAAAATATTGAATAATTAAAATGGACCTTGGGCCAGCATCCAACACAAACACAGTTGAATTAGAAATGAAGCTGTTACAATGAAACACGTTGAAATTAAGTGAAAATTACAAAAGTGCGATTTAAATCTAACACACACACACACACACACACACAAGGAAAATGATACAAAAACACAAACAATTGTTACAACAAAACTAAAATTAAGACTTAATTACTTACATTACATGTACGGGAAATGTAATCCAAATAAACGGTATCCTTACACAAAACACAAAAACAATTTTCAATTACACAATTACTCTATAACGACCGGATAATCGCAGCATCTTCTTTTCGGATAGACAAGGACTCAACTTCCAACTGAGTCACCTTGACAACTTATGGGGGCACCGAACAAACACCTCTCCTTGCACACCTTATTAGATAGCCAAAACTTCAAAAGGTCACAAATCAGCCGCGAATTAGGCTTTCGGTTTCACACACGAAACTTCTTCCAACTCTCAGACTAAACTTTCAATACTGGCCGTGACTTCAGATGAAAACTAGCTGGCCGCGACTCGTAGCAAAAAGTTGATTTAAAACTTCAACAAACGTAATACTGCGTAAACTCTTGGCTAAAAGCTGATTTAAATCGATTTCAACGAAACGTAATTCTACGTAGACTGTCGCTAAACGTGATTTAAAGGTGGGTTTAGGCTCGTACGCAGAACGGCGCTGCTGCAGAAAGTCGCAGCCGCAGGTAGTTCGAGACCATGTTGATATACGGCCTTGTTTATGCTTGAACGCACAAATACAAAACGTAGGTTGCCGCAAATATGCTTGTCTGTAGGAGACGCAGAAGTTCGAAGAATTTAAACTTTGTACGCAGTTGTTTGTAGTCGGGCGTACAGCTCTTCTTGATCCTTTGTCACCATTACTTGAAAAACATTTAGAAACCTTCCAAATTTTCTCCTATATTTGTTAACAGGTCTTACTGCCCACCGTCGTACCCTCCTTTGAGTATGCAAGAGCCCCAACTCATTACTTAACGCCGTTAGTAACAGTATTTTCTTTAATTTAATTCTCTTCTTGTCTGCCATTGCAGAAATTAATCAAAAATCTGTTTTTTCTATTCACTTAACCAACCACGTTATTTAACGACCAAAAGAGGTTAGGTTTTAAACATACGTCAATTTCGACACTTGAACACTGAGAACAACTGCGTACCAACATAAACAGATAGATCACTAGTACACACGGGGGCGTACTTCTGCAGCTGAAATTTCCACTCACTTCTGCAACGTGTGCATTCTGCGTACGAGCCTAAACCCGCCTTAAAAGTACAACGGAACGTACTTCCGCACTGAACTTGCTCTGAACTACTATGTTCACGTCTTATTTAAAGCGAAACCCTTCTTCCGAAAATCAAAATTATAACAACCAATCATACACAGTTGACAACAGAAAATATCCCCTCAACTTACGTTAAAAGACCAATTTAATAGAGGTCGAATAATTTTATTAAACAAATTCCTATCAGATATGAATTATTAACTAAAATAGGTACTAGGAACAGTAAAAATTCATCTCTTTTAACTACACAGGAAAGGCGATAAATCACATCGGCCGGTCAATTAAATTAAGCATTTACAATTTAACAGATACGAGTAAACAAAAATCCCGGAAATTTCTACGTTAAATAAATTAAAAATTATCAAAGTCCTCGTGTGAGATCGAAGGGACTTCAGCGCATTTTTGTGTGGCAGATCAGTATTCTATTAGCCACTTTCGACTCAACCATCAATAACAGATCTTGTCGAAGGCTACTACATTCACTAACCGTTTCCCACTTTCCACGTGCACCCGCAATTCGCTTTTAAATTTAAAATCGGGTCGGGGGCTACCATATTCCCTTTGACGGTAGCCACTTCCGACGTCCCGTTCGCCCGCAATTCGCTTCTATTGGCGACACGAGAAAGAGAGACAGTGATTCGAGATTTACGAAACGTTAAACCGCGTGAGTTCGCAACGGAAGGTAAAAGGCGCCCGAAGTTGACTACTTCTCGTAGACGCTCGCGCGCGCCTCGCAAAAGGTCGTTAATTTCGCCCCTAGGACAAAAAACAAAATTCCGCCACGCAGGAGTTGTGCGCGTTTACAACATCTATCCGACGATACCAATTTGAAAAGAATTGGACCAAAACTGTAGTAGAAGATAGGAAAAAACTGAAAAACCTTCACGTTAGTATACTACGCTCGAGGATGACGCCCAGATGTCGCCAACCCCACATCATGTAGCTATGTCCCTAAGGTTGACAAATTTCACGGCCTTGTAGATACACGTACACCCGTTGCCTTTCTACAAGAGTTCTTCTACGCGCCCACATTTGCAGCCAGCCAGCCAGCCGACCAAAGTGAGATTAAAAGCTACTTTTCACAAATAAATTTGCAAAAATGCGCTGAAAAGGTAAACAAAAACAACCTTGACCGCTTTCTCGTATGGCAATAATTTCCGTGCCGTCACATAGACCAACGACAAATTAATAATTTAATTACGAATGTTAATTACATAAGAAGGAGACCTCCCTTGTCCATCTTAATTAGGATGTCAAAAAATTTCATCCTGCCAGACGAAATAAACAGCAATATTTTGTATGATGTATTATAGTGTCACCTTCAAAAGTATATAATAAATGTTTGTGCTTTGTTTTTTAGCGCATTTTTGCAAAAATTTTTTTTGTAAAAAATAGCTTTTAATCTCACTTTGGCTGGTCGGCTGGCTGGCTGGCTGGTCGGCTGGCTGACTGGCAGTAAATGCGCGCCCGTAGAAAAACGCTTGTAAAAAGACAAGGAGTGTACATGTAACTATCGGGGCCGTGTAATTAAGAACGTTAGGGATGGGGCTACAAGATTTGGAGTCGACGACATCTGGACGCCATCCCCGAGCGTATTATACTAACCTGCAGATTTTTCAGTTTTTATCTATCTTCTTCTACAGTTTTTCTCCGATTGTTTTCAAATTGGTGTCGTCGGGAAGATCTTGTCAACGCGCATAACTCCTGCGTGGCGGAATTTTGTTTTTTTTCCTAGGGGCGAAATAAACCACCTTTTGCGCGGCGCGCTTCGAGGGGTAGTCGACTTTAGGCGCCCAAAAGTTTCTAACAGCGCGAATCGCGGTCTCTTTCTCGTGTCACTAATAGAAGGTCGAGGCATGTGAAGTACCCAATAGTTGAATACGATTTTATGCCGGGATTTTAGCGAAATCTACCAAAATGTGAATTAATAATGAACGGGACGTCGAAACTGTGTATCGACAAAGGGAATGTGGTAACCCCCGACGAGATCTTACTGATGGTGGAGTCGAAACTTCAAATCCTAATTGTTGCGGGTGATCAGAAGTGGGTGTCGACAAAGGGAATATGGTAACCCCCAAAGGATTTTACTGATGGTGGAGTCAAAACTTCAAACGCGAATTGCGAGTGCACGGTAAGTGAGAAAATGGTACCGACAAAGTGAACGTGGTAGCTTTCGGCAAGATCTTATTGATGGTGGAGTCCAATATTGGCTAATAAAACACTGATCTGCCACACAAAAATGCGCTGAAGTCCCTTCGATCTCACACGAGGACTTTGATCATTTTTTTTCTATACCAACGTAATCGACTTTGTGGATTCACCGCCTATACTTTTAAACAACACTTCACTAATACAGGGTGGCCCACTGAAAATAGTCAATCCCATTATAACATTGGAAATGCTTATGCTTTGTATAGGTGTGAAGTTACCGGCTTCGGCAATCAGAAAAGAAGACAGTGGTGGCGCATCAAGTGATGATTATACCGTACTCGACTGCAATCGGTACATTCAGGGAAAGTCCCGGATATTGTCGATACGGTACTTACAGGGTTTTGTTAATTCGAATCTAAAATTCTCGCACATCGCCCGTGATAGTATTACAAGCATGTCATTCGGAAAGTTTACGTTTACGACACGAGCAAGTTGGCGAGCGTGTGGAGCAAGTGATTCCGTGTCAATAAGGGTTATTTGTGTTTTACATATTGCGTTATACGGTTATCATTTCCAATGTCTCTGATAGTTGCAAAGATTGCGAAATATGTGAATTTTTTGCCCACTTAACGACAGTGTTGCCAGAAACGCTCGAACAGGTCAATTTTAGTTTTGAGGGGGACACCTGAATTAAATAATACTACTTACATAACTTTAACCCTGAGAAGAGGGGGAATTGCACCCCAACAATTTTAAATGGGAAGGGGAGGTAAGCGTTAGATAGTTCAAAAGGAATGTTCATTCTGTTTTCAGTACTGTTTTTATTTTGCAAATCCGATTAGGAGTCCGAGAGAAAACTCGATTTAAACGGATTTGCAGAGCTCTTTTCAATGTTTATTAAGCGACCGAGCAAAGCGATGCAAGCTTTATAGGGGAGTCGATGGTGTCCGTCTGTCCGTCCGTGCCAAACGCTTGGAGCGATTTGGTTCAAACTTTGCACATTTGACATATATGCCACAAGTAATAACTAATAAGCCTATTGAAAATGGGTCAAATTCATTGACCTCTTGGGGTCACGCCTCTCTGTCTCTGCCAAACGTTTGAACCTATTCAGTTCAAACTTTGCACAGTTAACATATATACCACATGTAACAAGCCAATTGAAAATGGGTCAAATCCAATTACCCCGTAAGGGTCACACCGAGGTGCTCTGCGGCTTTTTTAGATGCTCTTTAGTGCTTTATTAAGTAGGCGTTGAAGTAATTGATAGCTTGGGTCAGAAAAGAGCACATGACACAAGTGCACAAGCAAGGAAGCGAGTTTGTGAGTATGTTAAATGTAGGTAACTTGTTTAATTTTATTAATGGTTTACAGTTTACACTGTGTTATTCATTGAACAGAACTCCTGTTTCAGGGTTAAAGTTATGTAAGTAGTATTATTTAATTCAGGTGTCTCCTCAAAACTAAAATTGACCTGTTCGAGCGTTTCTAGCAAAACTGTCGTTAAGTGGGCAAGATTGCCATTGACTGTGTTCAATGGGCCATCCTGTATACCTAATAATCATTTCCATCGTATTTTCTGTTGAGGACTAATATGCGACTTTCAGCTTATATACGTTCAATTCATGTTGAACGTGTTGTGACTTTTAGAAGCTCAAAATAGTAGCTGTCATAAGGTTAAAGGGTGTAGTTCACGTCTTCTTCGATCGTAACACTGCGTCATTCTGCGGTCATTCTATTGCTTTATGTGTACATTTGGAAGCGGAAGCGGTGACGAAATATAATCAAAGTGGATTCTAGAATTGCTTTGCTCTTAGAAAAATGTTACCTACACTTACCCTAAAACTAATTGCGCCGTTGCAGTTGACATCAAAGGCTTTGAACACGTAATGTGCATATAAAGTTGAATCTGAAACAAAACGAACCATGTAATAAACGCTATATCACGATACGATAAATTTGAAAGTCAAAACTATTCTGCCGCTGTGCATAGATATAATATGCACTAGTAATTTATGTTTTCGCTATCACCATTTACATTTAGTACGTTCCAGTTTTAAGTTTAATTGCATGCTTCAAGCAGTTACCTTAATAAACCCTTTTATGTTCGACTCGATCATAATACGCTGAGTTATGACACTGTTTAGCGTCCATAATCTGCTACTTTATTGGACTAGTCCATAATGATAAAGTAATTTGGACTCCTGTCACTTGTCAATTTCTTTGGAAAATGCATTTTAAAATTACGATCTGTTTTAAAGAAGAAGTACACGGAACAGAATGCTATAATTTAAAGAACACATATCTATATTATACATTTCAATAATTATAGATAGGTACCACTCAATTAATGTTAATAACACAGTTGTTGGTAATGTTAATTCCCGATGTACCTTTTTGATGCAATATTTCGGTGGTGTCTACGGCTTTTAAATTTCTGAACGAAGAATTTGCCATAACGATTCCCGTTCCCAAAATTTTGCTGGCAACACTAATTTTTGAATTGTCAGATCTCTGTCAGAATCTCCTTTTCTTTTGAGGTAAGGAATTAGGCTGGGAAATTTGCTTATATCCACTCCCTCATTTAAATTAATTGTCGATCGTAACATCGAGTACTTACTCCATAAAGGAGAACTTTTATAGGAGACCAACTCACTAAAGTACGCCAATATACAGTCTTCCGTGGTGCAATTGATTTTCTTCCCCCAGTACCACCTTCTGTATTCCCTGTATGACGCCTCGTATACAGTTTTTGATTTGCTTGGTAAAAGCATTTCTCTGGCATTGCAGGCTAATTGTTGTATACTGTTGGACCCATCAATTTCTTCTGGACTCATCTTGGGATTCATAATTAGGTACAGAGAATTAGTTAATACCCAACGAAATTGACACTAGGTACACATCAACAGATTTTTTTCCAAACAACACGTATCTATGACAACACAAAAGGCACACTATGTTATTTCTGGTTATTAAATAGTGAAATCTATACCAAATTTCAGCAAATTTTCAATACATACATGAACTACATTTTCCGAGTCGAACATAAAGCTAAGTATGTTACTCGTACATAATCAGACTTTATTATCTCGTCTTTTTTATTGGCCTCGCGCGCAAGCGCGCTCTGCCAATAAATTCGACTCGTCCAATAAAGTCATAGATTATGTACTTGTAACATAAATAGCTATTATAATAAATATAGATACCTAGATATGGTATCTCAGTGATTCAATTATCAGCAGTAGGGGGTTGAAAGTTGACACGATATGTGCAAGATATTTTCTCATACGACCCTTTAAAGTATAAAATTTAGTTAAAATATATACGTAGGCATGTCCGTTCAAAATATAAGCGGCAACTTTGAAGCTCTCTATCTGTTTTAATAAAAATTTCACAAAACCAAGCAAATTTTGGGAGCTTTAGCAAAGAGTATGGCTCCTCTTTGGTTTTAGCTTGTTAGGGTTGGTATGGGGGAAGCACAACGGGTGGTCGAAAACTACTCGTGTGAAAGCATCAACCAAAAGTAGCAAGCAATGAATAAAGAATACCAGGAAGGAGAATATCAACAATATACGTGCGACCGCGATGACTTTTGCAAATGGCGGACAGTAGTTTCCTGTTCCAGTGCCTACCTTACAGTTGTAGAAGGATACAATTATAAAGAATTTTACACGAAAACAATCTAAACCCCCATGTGTCTACTCCGCCTATGACTTTTGTTTAACTAACCTCAAACTACATTCCGATAAAAAATTTGTAAATTTACATGTACTATATAAAAATAATATTGGTATCAATACTTACACATGAAATGTAATTCCCAAACTTTTATTTTTTTCCGTTTTGGAGCAACCACAAGCACAACAACTAACCATTATTTTATGTCACTGCAAAAACCACAACAAAAATGAGTCATAAGTGGCTTTTGCAAATGGCCGACTTCCGTCGCACTCTCTCTTGTATACAACCTGAGTAATGCTCCTTCCTGGTATTCTTTATTCATTGGTAGCAAGCCATTTTTCCTAAGTTGACCGAAGATGACGTGACACACAGTGCCGCGTTTTCGCCTAGGCCTAGCCTAGGGTCCGTTGAAATTGGGGGCCTGCGAAGATGCATGCATCTTTGATAGTTGACGATATTCAAATTGCAAAGAAAATTCCATTACTATATACTGAACACTTTGTGCTACGACGAAATCATTAATACATTCGTTAACTCTAAAGTTAGAAAACAAAAGATATAACTCTCTATTAGTAGTTTAATATTTTTTTTAATAGATTTTATTATATTATTTTCTATGGGAGTCTGTTAAGTTAAATTGATAAAATTGAAACCATAAGTAGGTATCTTTGTTTTTAGGAGATATAAGTACAAACCAGGGTGGTAAGGGGCCCTACACTATTTGTAGGCCCGAAAAAGGTTAGACGCGACCCTGGTCACACAGTAAAAACCACATTATTAAATAGTAACGTCACGGTTTAAATACCCGAGTATGCAGTGACGTCAGCATTTCATTGCCCAACTACACAGACTCCGTCTTCTAAAAATAACAAAAGGTTGCTAGGGATCTGTTTTCCGGTTGTAACTTGTAGAATCTAGAACCTTCTCCAAGCACCCGGTAGTAACTTTCCCCAATAAAACCAACCAAACAACAAATCATCAAAGACAGCGAGTTACTGGCAAACTCTAGTTTACAGTACCTTTACCAACTTCTCTTGCAAATGATAAGGGAACATCCAGGGGTGTCACAAGTGGCAAATCGTTATTGTACAAGTTTGCAAGCACTTTTCTCCGAACTGCAGCAGGTTGATGGCATTCTGATTTTTAATTCTATTTAGTAGCATTTGATAAAAAAATGAAAATTGCATTCCTTGCAAATGATAAGGGAAGTTCAAAAAATTCTGCCGCGGAAAGTAAGTACCTTGCGCGCGATAACCTAATGGACTCTCGCGCTCTCATCGCACTCGCTCGTTTCGTGACGCCGAGAAACAATAGACTCTATTGCTGCTCGAAACCTTGAATACAGACTGCATTTTTGAAGTTACTACTTCTTATTGTTCGATATTCACTAAGTATGTGTTTTGTACGGGAGTAAAATCATCGATTTTTTTATTTCCTAAAAGTACAGAAATTAAGTATCATCGTCAGTGGCGAAAAGTCTGCATCGTCCTTTTTGGCCCGCCCGTTAAAAACGTTGAGCAGCCGTGGTCCATACTCTCGGACTCCAGAGCGGCACTAAGCGCGATTGTTAATCTTCGAAATTCAACGGGAGAGGTGAGGGCAACAAGGCGAGCTATCAACCACGCGACGGCGAAAAGGGCACAAATTCGACTTCACTAGGTCTGGGAACCTACCGAAATCATCGGAACTGAGCGTGCAGTCTTGAGAAGCAAGCGGCCATTAGGAATGCAGAACTCCCCATTGCGTGCAACACATTACCGATTACCACCGTAAAGCGAGACCGATGCGTAAATACTTTGATGGAATGGAAACGAAGATGGGAGATCGCAGAAAACAGATGTTTGACTACAAAATTCATACCGTCTATTAAAATTAGGAAAAAAAACGTACCACAACGACTAGGCCCACCCGTGACCCAATTAGTTACTGGACCCGAAAACCCGTGTGAAAGCTGTAGGGGTTGAATAACATCGTGAACCCAGTAATGGGAAGGGCGCCATCGGGGGTTTTATATGGTTGCAAATCACGTCGCCCAGCCGAGTCCGTATTGCTTGATAGGGCAGAACTTATCTTAGGAGAGATATAGTGAACAACCAAGCTTGGCAAAAATATTATTTCGATAATATACCTGTGATCGTCTCAAAAAGTTTTAAATGGGGGACAATCACGGTGGAGCGTACTATACGTCTTTCGCTATAGAAACCGTTGCACGTCATTGATTTGTGTATCAATTTCAGACATATGCTGCAACACTGCAACATGTACAAAAAAAAACAAGTGTGCGAAATCTATAGAAAACTTGTCTGAAATTGATTCATAAATCAATGACGTGCATCGGTTTTTATAGCGAAAGACGTATAGCTAAAAAATTTCATGGTCCATATAAAAAAACGGCAGCTGTGAAGGTGTTGGAATGATTAATGTCCGTTGATGGCGACTAAGGTGTAGTATACAATCTTTGGTGGCGTCCTGGGTGACACTTTGAGCTTAACACCCATTAGTGTCTGGTCGATAAAGGTAGCGCCCCCACTTTGCGAAATCAAGTAAACATATGCCTATAATTTAGAACTAATTAAAGACTAATTTGTACCCACCCCCCAAAATTAGAATTTGTACCCGCTTAGTTCTGCCGGAAAACCGATTTTTAAAGTGGGGGTGCTAACTAGAAATCAAGTTAGCACACCCACTTTTTCCGATTGAAATTTTATTAGTCGCATTAAAAACTATGAATTAAAGACTATTTTGTACCCAAATTGGATTTTCATTGTTTAAACAATTTATACATTATTTAAACAATTTTTTTACTAAAACAGAGCAACTCAGAATTAATAAAAAGAAATTGGACGTATAAATTAAAGACTAATTTATACCCACAAAATTAAAATTTGTACCCGTTTGGTTCCGCCGGAAAACCGATTCTGAAGGGGGGGGGGGGGGAACTAGACATACAGTTAGCACCTCCACTTTTTATGATCGAAATTTTATTAGTCGCATCAAAAACCATGAATTAAAGGATAATTTGTACCTAAATTAGATTTTCATTGTTTATACATTATTTAAACAATTTATACATTATTTAAACAATTTTTTACTAAAAAAGAGCAATTCTCAAAATTAATAAAAATAAATGGAAAGTATAAATTAAAGACTAATTTGTACCCACAACATTATAATTTGTACTCGCTTAGTTCCGCTGGAAACCCGATTCTAAGGTGGGGTGTGTTAGCACCCCCACTTCTCCCGATTGAAATTTTATTACTCGCATAAAAACTGTGAATTAAAGACTAATTTGTACCCAAATTAGATGTTCATTGTTTGTATAAATTAAAGACTAATTTATACCCACAGAATTAAAATTTGTACCCGCTTGTTCCGCCGGAAAACCGATTCTGAAGTGGGGTGGGGGGGGGGGTAACTAGACATACAGTTAGCAACTCCACTTTTTCCGATTGGAATTTTATTAGTCGCATCAAAAACCATGAATTAAAGGATAATTTGTACCCAAATTAGATTTTCGTTGTTTAAACAATTTATACATTATTTGAACATTTTTTTTACTAAAAAAGGGAGTTCAAGAGTTAATAAAAAGAAATCGAACGTATAAATTAAAGACTAATTTGTACCCACAACATTATAATTTGTACTCGCTTAGTTCCGCTGGAAACCCGATTCTAAGGTGGGGTGTGTTAGCACCCCCACTTCTCCCGATTGAAATTTTATTACTCGCATCAAAAACTGTGAATTAAAGACTAATTTGTACCCAAATTAGGTGTTCATTGTTTGTATAAATTAAAGACTAATTTATACCCACAAAATTAAAATTTGTACCCGCTTGTTCCGCCGGAAAACCGATTCTGAAGGGGGGGGGGGGTAACTAGACATACAGTTAGCACCTCCACTTTTTCCGATTGAAATTTTATTAGTCGCATCAAAAACCATGAATTAAAGGATAATTTGTACCCAAATTAGATTTTCATTGTTTATACAATTTATAAATGATTTGAACATTTTTTTACTAAAAAAGGGAAATTCTCAGAGTTAATAAAAAGAAATCTAACGTATAAATTAAAGACTAATTTACCCACAAAATTAGAATTTGTATCCGCTTGGTTCCGCCAGAAAACTGATTATGACGTAATAAGCATTTAAAGACCACCTGGCATACATTCAAAATATACGCTGTATAATGCAAGAAGATTCAAGCCCTTCGAAAAATTCTCCGCAATCTTGCATTTTCCCTTTGTAGGTACCTTCCATTGACACCTCATTTTCGAAATATACACACTAAATAAATCTTCTGACACTTTTCGAGATATTCGTTATTAAAGATTTGACACCACTAATGGATATATTTCTTCCAAACGTACCAATCGCCCTTTGTGGCGACCCTCCTCCGATACTTCACTCTAGATGAGATATTAGAAAGAATCACGTTAAAGAGTCGAGGAGGACAGTAGTCGGTAGCAACTAATTCCTTTCGTTGAGACATTTCATTAGAATACCGTGAAAGATAAAATAAATTTCTAACCCCCACCCCCTCCCCCCGTCAACTACTCATCTTAAAAACCATTCATATTCTGGCGGCCAATAGACTACGTCGCTGAAAAACAATAGCGCCTTTCTTATATTCTTAAGACGGTGTTTAATAATTTTCAAAGCGATCAGGGGTTTCTAAACGGTTATTGTTATTGTGCGCATGCACAGACAGACAAACGGACAGATATGCAGACAACAATACACAAGTATAAACGATCTCGAGGATCGTTACTAATTTAGCAGAGTGCATTCTTTCGACCCCAATATTCTCTCCCAACTCGCGCCCTTGCTCAGACGACTTCCTAACGATATAATTTGTTTATAAAAAAATGTTTGTGTTTAGTCCTTAATTTATATGTTGCATTCCCTTTATTTAGAAAAAAATTGTTTAAATAATGTATAAATTGTTTAAACAATGAAAATCTAGCTGGGGTACAAATTAGTCTTTCATTTAGACGTTCCATTTCTTTTGATTAATTTTGAGAATCGCCCTTTGTTAGTGAACAATTGTTTAAATAATGTATAAATTGTTTAAACAATGAAAATCTTACTTGGGTACAAATTAGTCTTTAATTTATACGTTCCATTTCTTATGATTAATTTGAGAATTGCCCTTTTTTAGTGAACAATTGTTTAAATAATGTCTCAATTGTTTAAAGAATGAAAATCTAATTTGGGTACAAATTAGTCTTTAATTCATAGATTTTAATGCGACTAATAAAATTTCAATCGGGAAAAGTGGGAAAACTAACTTGAAATCAAGTTTGCACCTCCACTTTAAAAATCGGTTTTCCGGCAGAACTAAGCGGGTACAAATTCTAATTTTGTGGATACAAATTAGTCTTTAATTAGTTCTAAATTATAGGCATATTTTTACTTGATTTGGACAAAGTGGGGGTGCTAACTTTATCGACCAATTAGAGTCGGCATTGGGTGGCGAATTCATGTCAAAACAGGTACGAAACATTTTGAGCGCGGTATGCTGAAAGGCGGACAAAGCAAAGTCCATAAGCATGACTTTGGTATTACCATGTGTAACCCAGGTCTAGTTACCTTTTAACTAAAATGCCGATGGTATTTCAGTGTGCAGAAGAGGACTCGGTTGAGGACAGCCGGTTGAATAGGATGGTAGAGTTTAATTGTAGATTCGGTATAAAGGGAAAGGTAAAGTACATATTCCATTAGAATTCAACTACACAACAACGTAAATTGTTACTTTCACTTTTTTTAGAAATCATTTGGATAATTGGATATTCTTCTTTTAATAAACCATAAGAAAACCATTAGCCTATATTAAGTAATTATCTTTCAAAACGACTGATGATAAGTTGGTAACATCTACAATACTGAAATTATTGTTTACTGTAGTATGTTATATAAACATTCCACAAGTCAAAGCACTAATGCGATGTACGAATAGATAATGATTGAACTTATAAACCTTACTATAGTCACAGATAAAATACCCAATTTTATCTGTGCTATAGTGTTCGGGTGTGCTGATTACTTATAATATGGCCGACCTGAACAATAGTATTTCTGGCGAGCCAAGTGTCTCCAAATTTCAAGAACTTAAGTTTGTGTTCCCAGAGGTACAACTGTGAATTGCTAAAATAATCGCTGTACCTAGGTATAAATCTGTATTCTTGTAGATAGTCGCTGCGACCGCTGTTAGTTTTCTTTCAATTTCTGTAGGGCTGGGAACAGCATATTCAGCTATTTTAATACCACAGTTGTCGGCAGCACAGCGAAATAAAGAGTTAGATGCGATTACGCTAACGGAAACTGAAGGAGTATGGTTTAGTAAGTAGGTACCTACACATTTAATTTCACTGGAATTTGGAGATTTAATTAGCAAGTTCGGTGGCGCTGGTAATGCCGTTTGCCGGTGTAATAGCGGGAGTACTGACTGATAACTTGGGGCGATTGAGAGTTCTCCAAATGTCTACACTACCACAATTTATTGGGTGGGTTATAATTGCTACAGCAAGCAACACCTGGATGTTGTTCGCAGGACGACTCGTAACTGGATTTGCGGGTGGTATGTTCCCTCATGCCAAGCTTTATTTACATGATAGTTTCAGCTTTAGTTATTGTACCATCAATGGTGTACGTTTCGGAAATAAGTTCACCGAAAATTAGAGGCGCTCTACAGAGTATATCATCTACATTCTACAACGCAGGTCAGTACGAAGTACCCACTTTTAGGCGTATTAACTAAATAATTAGGGCTGTTGACGACGTATTTGAAAGGGTGGTTTTTGAGCTGGCGCGTTATTGCATGGTTAGCGGTTGCGTATAGTGTAATTTCACTTCTGTGCGTGCTGTTTATCCCTGAAAGTTCTGTATGGCTCTTGAAGAAAGGAAAATCTGGCGATGCGCAAAAATCTTTCGAATGGTTTACTAAATATCGGCAAAAGTACGAGGTAACAAATGTATTTTTGGGAAATGGTTTATCAAAATAGTTTCAGAGCGAAACCCTAAATGAATCACCTCAGCTTCAAAACATGGAGATTATTAAAGAGGAACCCTTCAGTTTGAAAACACGTATACGTTGGACATTAAAACAGTTTGCCCTTCCAACTGGCTATAAACCATTTCTGATTATGGCAGCATTAATGGTAATACAGGAGTTTTCTGGTGCACATGTAATAATGATGAACGCAGTAATATTTTTCGAGGTAAATTTTCGAATCGGTTGTATTTCTACTACTCTTTATAACTTAGGGCATTGGAACTAATTTCGATCCCTATTTAGCATCAGTATACATGGCAACCATGCGAGTAGGGATGGCAGTAACACAAATATGGTTGATGAGACGATTCAACCGACGAGCACTTTTAATGGTCAGCTGTGTGGGAATGACGATTTGTATGATAATATCGGCAGTGTACACCAAATGGATTCAAGACGGTAAAATGCATCAAATGTCTGTAGACGCTAATGACATCTGTTTCAGGCAGTACGACAAGAAATTGGGTGCCGTTATGTATGCTGATATTGTATTTTATGTTTTTCACTGGTCTCATTAGTATACCCTTGGTAGTAACTACTGAAGTTTTTCCCTTACCGATACGCGGACTTGCATCAAACTTAATTTCTGCTATATTGTACATTATGCTATTTGGCGCCCTTCAAAGTTTTTACCCCTTATATAACGCACTAGGAGGGCTATCTGGCGTACAATATTTTTACGGACTTGTATCTGCGGTAGGATTCATATTCGTGTTTTTATTTTTGCCAGAAACACATAACAAGGATTTGTGGGTTATTGAGAGATACTTTTTACACAATACAATGTATTTCTCCATGAAAGGCAAACATTTAATTCCGTGTCACTAAATTTAACATTTAATATTTGTGAATATATATTAATAATAATAAATAATGGAATTAAAGTAATTTCTGCACAATACATACACCTATCCACTACAATTATTATTGAAGTGTTAGTACCTATAGTGGTTAATTAACTAACTAGTAATTAACTAGTCTCCATCATTATTTTAACCTTGCAAAATACAATAGTCAACAAAAATGCATCAAATTCATGTCTTGAGCATTGCGAAAATACTCTTAGTCTTTTTCCCAACTGTTTTGGTGCATAAATAATGATTTTGAGATGCGTTGATCAAAATCCATGTGGTCTCCAAAAATGCCTCAAATTCATGTCTTGGGCATCGAAATAACGCTATTGTTCTATTTCACAACGATCTTGGTGGATGAATGACGATTTTGACATGTTTTGATCAAAATACGTGTGACCCCAGGAAAGGAATTCAACACCTTTAAATCAAACACACGCGGTGACAAAATGTGGATGTTAATTATTTTATAATTACATTTTGTATATCCAGATTTTTGGGATTTAAGCGTAGAAACTTAGTAAGTCAATAGAAAGACACAGAAGTTTATTATAACCCTTTGAATCAAAGGTTTACCTATGTGTTTTTTCAATAAGTTTTCAAATTCTCAGTTCAAGTTTCAGGTTTTTTTTTGTATATACACTGCAATAAAATTTATGTTCGTTACATGTGTTTGCCGCGAATACAGTTCACTTATCAATATGTAGCCCACGGCCGCTCGCAATAGCTTTTGAAGATAAGAGTTTAAGACATTTTCTAATCCACATCAAGGCGTGTAGTAGCGTCAGGCAGTGTAGTACGGCGAAGCCTTTTGTTAAGGTTTTCTTCGTGTGAAAAATTAGAAGCATCTATCGCCCGAACGACCACCCAAAAATTTTTTCATCTTGTTCATCAAACAGTTTTGTTTATCATCTAATTGTGAGTTAAGTGCGTTTTATATCGCAAATCTTGCACGACCAGATTATTTGGATTGTTAAGAAAAAAACTGTCAGTAATTTTAAGATTCCTTATTTTATTCGTCGACCGCCTGCGTGCGGGGTAATATGTACAAACAAACGTCGTAAGCTTTTCTTTCTTGCAAGGATTTTGTTTTAATTTTATTTCGTTGTGTTTAGGAATAAATGTCGTTATCAATCAATTAATTGTGTGTTTATTCAAATTCATTGTGCCAAGAATTCTCGTGGCCAAGAATTATGTCAGATGTTAATGAAAATTTGTATAGTTTATTCTTTGGAATTTTTGGAAGTTGATCGAGACCACCAAGTCTCTCAAATTTAGAAATTTTAAGTCAACATCAACATCTCTTCTAGCAGGTGCCGGATGTGTACGAGGAGAGATGATAAAGTTTCAATTTTGATTTATTTTGAGCTAGCTGGACAGGTGTTTTGCGAGTGGTGTAGTGACAGCATACTATTGCACACAGTTATACGTATCCAAAATTTGAACAAAATCCGTCGGAAAATTACCAATGTAAGTACGTACATACAGACGGAAAAAATGTATTCTTTAAAAGTTGCTTAAAGTGATCTAAAACGTCGACATTTTAGAATGAAGGAAAATTTTGATATCAATGTGGACACCACCGTGCAATGTTGGAGTGTCGTGCGAAACATTTGAATTTCCCATTGGCGCGATTAGCACAAACATTTCAATTACCAGGACCAATTAGCACAACACTTAAATAAAATAAAATTTTGAAAATATCAATGTTGTTGACAATGTTGATCAGAAAAAATCACTCATTAACGAGCGGAGCACAAAATTTTAAATTAGTAGCACAAATTAGCACAAAATAAGCGCAAAATTATGAGATACACATTGCTTCACGGACCTAAAATTTGTTGCCTTATCTTTTCTTCAACTTTTCAGGGATAGTGCGCATTTTTAGCAGTTTTTTGCCATTGCTTCTATATCTTTTTCCAGAAATGAGATCTTGATGAAGGTTTGAGCGAAGTGCGTCATTGGATGTTTCTTCGGCAATAGTTGAACTGGTGATGACGTCAATAGAAATTTGGTTGATGTATTGGTCTTCCAGGGTTGAAACTTCGAGGCTATGGTGCATTCTGTAGAGAAGCTATCTTGTGATGTAGGGTAAGTAGCTCTAGAGAGGCAGTCAACATGTATATACACTGTACAGGGTGTCCTATTAATAAAGGTCACAGGTCATATCCATGGAACCGCTCATTAGACGGCTTGGGGAAAAAGATTTTGTGTACAAAAGAGGCCAAAAGAAATTACTGGAAATTATTTTCAAGTTTCTAGGTTTGCCGTGCGTATTTCCGCCATATCTCTACTTAGGAAACAGATATCAAAATGCGGTTTTCACTGATATTCTTATTGATGGTGGAGTCCACACTGTCTAATAAAACACTGATCTGCCACACAAAAATGCGCTGTCCCTTCGATCACACACGAGGACTTTGATCATTTTTTTTATAACACTAAAGCTTATTTTATCCGAATTCGTCTTTTATTAATGTTTTCCCATGAGAGAAAGTTATTTATTATACAAGAGAAAATAGTATTAGATTTTAGCTCGAGCTTGTATTGTCTCCCGTCGCGAAGCGGAGGACATCATCGACTCTCCTATAAAGCTTGCATCGCTTTGCTCTGCCGCTTAATCATTTTATTTCTTTTGCGAATTTGCACGATACTGCATAACGAAAGTCGGTAGTTCGATACAAGACCTTGCAATTTAATTACATATAATGTTGCAGTTTATTTGTGCCTTCCTCACGTAGGTATGTTTTGTCTCTGTGGAGCGAGGGATCTGAGATACAAACATCCTTTTTAGCGCATTTCCACAAAAATTAAAAAAAATGCGCTATTGTGGCCACTTTGTCCGTCCATCCGGCTGTCCGTCCGTCCGTCCGCTCGTTCGTTGAGATGCTATACGGTTTTCGCTATAAATAGCGTTGCACGTCATCAACAGAAGAAAATGGCATGCCAATTTAAATCAAGATTTGACGGATTTATATTCATTATTATTTAGTTACTTTTTGGGAGAATAAGTTTGCAGATTCGGAATTTTTTTTACAATGTTGCCAAACGTTATTTGTAATATTTGTTGACATCTGACACTTTTGTTCGGTTTTTGCGTGTGAAAGTTTTCGGTTATTCTTGTGGTTGTTGTTATTATTCATCTTCACTCTTAGTGCAAAAAATTGTGTTCTGTTCAGAACAAAATTCAGAACTTACTAGTCTCAAGTTCCACTACAGCAAGAGTTGGTCAAATAACGTAAAATCAGTCAAGATTTCAAGCAAGCGTTAACTTGATATTTATTTGCTGATGGCCTATGCAATGGTTTATAACTTCCGAAACATTTACGCAATGCCCACATTCCTCACCTTTCTGCTCACAACGGCAGCGATACGTTATAAACAAAATGCTAATAGTACTACACTTAGTGGACTGCACTTTCCTTGAACCCGTCACAGCACAGTAGGAATTGGTTTTATTGATGCACAGTCGGTTGGTTTCACACAGAGAGCCCAAAAAATGATCTCTGAATTTTCTAGTTCCTCTGGAATCTGGATGGTAGAAACATAACCTAAAAGTGTTTCCTTAATAAAAGATTAATATATCAGCATACTTTAGAAATATTTGGCAATGCCGTGTATTGTTGATGTCATCAAATCAATGACGTGCAACGCTTTTTATAGCGAAAAAACCCTATACTAGTTCTTTATCTTAAGAGCTATTGTTCTAGTTTTTCCGCTATTTGGTTCGTTATGGTGTCGAGGCTTGCACCAAGGAAGGAATTTTTTCTGCGTTCATTGCTAAAAAAGTTTTTGTAAAAAAACCAAAAAACCGTTTTTTACATGTTCCATAATTTTACACTTTTCCCATTGATTAACGATCCTAGAGATCGTTTATAATTTTGTATTGCAGTCTGTCGTCTGTCTGTCCGTCTGTTCCTTTGTCTGTCTGTCCCTCTATCTGTACGTGTGAACGATAACTTTGTTTAGAAATGTCCGATCGCTTTGACATCTCCGTTAGTTATGAACTGAATTGCAAGAAATTCAATATGGGCATAGCTTTAGCCATATAATACGCAATTCCAAAAGTTGAGTCGAATCGATCCAAAATTCACAGTGCCCTTTTCGCATCTCGACCATTTATAAACCGAATTGCCAACTTTTTTATTTATAAAAGTATTTAAACGAAATTTTATACATAGGCACTTGGAATAAAGGAAAATCTAACGCCAGTTTCAACATTTGGTTTTGCGCATGCGCAGTGCCAACTTTTTTATTTAATAATAATAATAATAATAACAATCTGTGGGTTCGGGGATAGAATAGGCCCACTCTCGCCCTAGAGATCGTAAAAGGCGATCAATGGGCACTAAAGGTGACAAATCCAACCACCTTTAGTACTTACCTACCCACTTTACTTTCCAACTCCCACGCCCATGTTCCCTACTTTCCTACATTATACACAACACGCAGGTGGATATTTGCTTACGCGAATATCTTGAAGAGTGACGCCTTCACGTGTTCCTAGTCACCCCATATTCTTATGAATGTGGAGTTTAAACAAAGCCTCGGAAAAATGCCGCTACCTGAGGAGCGTCAGGGCACGTCTGGAGCTATCGCTGGGCGTTGCAGCATGCGAGCCGATAGTGACGAGTTGGTGAACAGGCGGCCGCTCGTCGGGATACCCGAAACCTCTA